TTTTTTTTTTTTTTTTTTTTAAAGGAGGGAGTTTTAATTTTGAAGCCGATACGGAAAAGTCTGATTTGCCACTATACGCAGCTTATATCCTCTGCTGTAGTTTGAACCAGGCTATCAGACAGCCCTTCATTGTGCCCAGGGAGAGATGTAGGGGACTACAGTTCCCCCCTTGCCCTGCCTGCATGGATGTTGTTGGATTGTTTGGGAATGATGGGGCTTGTAATCCAAGATGTCCAGAGGACATTGCCAGGAGAGTGTGCCAGGACCTAAAGGCGGCTTTGCTGTTTGCAAACGCCGCTTTGGAAGGCCCTCTGTTTGTTGTCTAACTTGGTTCTTCCCCTGTGCCAGAGAAACCCGAAAGCTGGTTTGACTGGTCACTGGGGATGGGGGCTTGGGGGGGGGAGGAGGGGTGAAATAAAGCACATTGCTGGAGCGGGCAGACAGAATGTATTTATATAGGTCTGTGTACATACCACACCATATCGTAATTTTTGTACGTAGCAGTCATGTATATAACTGTACGGTTTTTATAAGATATTCTATAAAGGCATATTTTAGTAGAAAACACCGCTCTACGGCTTCTTTTGTAAACTGTTCTCGTCCGAATAAAAAGAGATCCTTTCTGCGGGCCTTGTCTTTGTCGATTGCGTCAAGGCAAAGGCCGGTATCCAGCCGTCCTTGCCGATGAGACCCTTCGGGGACGCGTGGCTTGGCATTTGAACCCCAACCCAATGGGCTACAGAAGCCGCCAGGAGGGCCACTGTCTTTAGGTGGCAAAAGGATGGTGGGATCGTTAATCAGTTCCAGGCCGAAGCGAGTCTAAGATCTGCAAGATAGAAGACATCAATTGAGCCAGTCCTCTCTGAGGATGGCTGCTCTTTCTGATTTAACAAATTAAAATAGTTTTGCCAGTTTCTGTAGCTGGGTGCATTTAACACCCTAAGCCGGTGTTTCTCAACCTTGGGAACTTGAGCATGGCTGGCTGGGGAATTCTTTAAGTCCACATGTCTTAAAGTTCCCAAGGTTGAACACTGAACTGATGGTTCTTGAGATTTTTGAATGCCATCTAAGTTTTGACTGGGTTTGCAGGAGACCCTGAGTAATCACGAAGGCTGGATTTGCACAGCCCCTGGGTAAACATGTAGGAACAAAGTATGATCCTAGCAAAATTCTCATTTTGTTCAGAATCTCTGTCCTCCAGTCCAACAGTTTCTCCATGAATTTACCTGGGACAAAAATTTAGCTGATGACATCTGATGCTTTTACATACCTGAAAAATAGGGTTTTACACCATTTTCCCATTTCTGGTAAGAGACAAAATTGAGGAAGTTGTTTAGCGACTCTCCATCTAATGAGAAAATTGACTGCAAAAAGGCATTTATTCTGAGTTTTTTTCATTATTGACTCAGCATCCAACCCCCTTTTCCAGGGTAAATTTCCAGGTATCCAAACGTGGCTCTTTAGTGCAGGGCCACCTGGAGAGTTGAATTGGACAAATTTTAAGAGTGCTAGTTGTGCCCTAGAAAGATCAGTAAATGACGACCATCACGTTTTGGATGACGATTCCACAATTTAGTGCCTGGGATGAAATGAACAAGCTGTGCCCCTTGGAAGTTAGGGAAAAAAACACACATTTTTATTTAGTTTCTGGAACCCATTAATTGTTGCAACTCTGAAAAGTACCAACTCTTAGGCTCTGTGGTTGCTCAAGGTCATTGCAAAAAGCGGACTTGGTTTCTACCAAGCTTTGCTATTTGTTCTTCAGATAGACTTACAGACATGTCAGAACATAGCAGCTTTCTGATGAAGTCCTGGACATTTTGCATCACGGTCTGTGAAAAACTCTTCCTGGATCAACTAGGGAAGCACAAACACATCATAAGGATTTTGCATTGACTGGAGTAATTCAGGATTGTAAAATAGGGGATGCATGGAGCCGTGTTCACCTTCCCAGAACTCGAGGGCTTACTAAATTATGGTTTCCTGAACAATCCATTGGGTGAGTTTGCATAATTTGCTAAGACCAACCCATCCCAACCCAACCCAACCCAACCCAACCCAACCCAACCCAACCCAACCCAACCCAACCCAACCCAACCCAACATACTGTGCTTGGCTTTCAGAGCTGTTGGAACCTAGCCAACTGTAGCTTATTCCAGAGCCCAAGGTTAAATCACATTGTAGCACAATGGCTGGGCTTAAGCCACAATGCAGGTTGTCCCTTAGCATGCATTATGAAACCAGCCAGTATCACATTTCCTTACCTTGTTTTGTGGGTTCCTTGGCCATTTATGGTTGCCTAGGGAAAATGCTCTTTAGCTTCCAGATCGTTACTCACCATTGCTCCTTCCTGCTTTTCACTCAAGGTCTAATCCTACTTTCTAACTTTGCCTAGGCTCTGTCTCACATATTTTACTGAACCATGTCTTGCTTTTGGTCTCACAGTATATGTGAACAGGGCCAGCAGATTCGTTAAGGCTTGGGGCACTAACACATGCCCAGAAAACGCCAAGAAATCACAAACCAGCCAGGCATCCCCATTCACACATCATGTTAAGCTCTAGTTATCTTGGGTAATGCAGCAATCAGAGGCTTGTTTTAAGGCAGTAAGCCTGAGACCAACATTATGGTTTGTGGCTGGCTTGCTGATTACATTCATGGCTTAGGGTGAGTCAAGATGCCTGTTGGTTTGTGAGTGCTAGGCATGTGTGATTCCCCGTGCATTTTATGGATTCACCCTGCAAGACAAGAGCACATTAAAAAGCAGGGGAGACAAATTAGACATGGCAGAAGTTCAGACTAGATGACCACTGTAGCCTCCTCCATGATTCTATGCTCATGGGTGAGGCATAAGACTGAACCAATACATCCAGCGTGATTTAGCAAGGTCTGCTGTGATACATATACATATACAGACACACACAAACATATAACACAGAAAGAAGATATTTTCTGTTTCAAGGTTTTCTTTATTTAAACAGTTCAACACTCTCTCTTGGAATCGTTATTATAAGTCTCAGAAAAGTTAATATCCCTGCTACCAGAGCATCCAACTCCTACTCGTTGCCACATCGACCCAGCATGGGAAAACTCACAATCACACAGGCAATGCAACATATTAGGTACTACACTGTTACTTCCACCAAAACAAGAGACTGATTGAGCCAACCTAAGCTTGGGAATTCAGCACCGCATCCACCACTACCACCAACCCCCTTTGTGCAGAAATGAAAGTGGGCAAGTCCCTTTCTGAAGGGAGCCTTAACTCTCCATAAGAAGCTATTGGCCCCAAGGTTTCGGGGGCCCCGCAAGCCCTTTTGACAGCTGGAGGTGAGGAGAAGCAAAGACGAGAGCCCAGGAAGAAGATATGGCAGCTTGGCACTTTTATTTTTAGTTTTTTAAAATTATTTAAAAAGCATAATTAGAAAGTTTCAATATACAGAAATCATCTAAGCAAACCAGTTAGACATTTCACGGCTTGACGTTAGCACTGCTAAAGATGCAGCCCCTTCCCCTTTCCCTCCCTCCCCCAACCCCGTCCACCAGCCGCTTTTCCCTTCACTCACAACACCTGGCGCTTGGGTAGCAGCCCCCGGCAAAGACAGGCCTGGGGGGGCATTGCTAAGAGACTCAGGAAACTTCCCACTCTTCCAACAGGAGAACCTGGATTCCAGGCTTAGCAAACATCCCCACCACACCCCGCCCGTTTGCTAGAGACCAATGTATTTTGAGAAAATGCCCACCTGTGAGAATCCACTGTTGCTTCAGCCCACACCCTTGCCACACCCAAACCCTGCTCTCTGCTGTCATCTCTACAGGCTTCCGTGGCTGGCGTTCCTTCTAAATCATGAATTGCTCAGTGCGCGAACGGTTCTTCGACAAGTCAGAAGTACCTTACAAGAAATGCAGAGAGAAGCTGACGGTGAGACACGGCTGCTGAAATGGAGGACGGCGTGCTTCCGCTGGCGGAAACCCATCGCTTCTTTATTTTGAGTGGGAAAGCCCGCGGGTCTGGGGCTTGGATGATTGTAGCTGCTTCTCTTCTTAAAGACAAGCCAAACAATAAATAGGGGGTTTCCACTGAGCCCTTCTTGCATGATTCGAAGTCCAAGGATCGATACTGATGGTCATTTCTTAACACGAGCACCATCGTCATTAGATGCCAGGGCAACAAAGGGTGGGGAATTCACTGTGTTTTGAGGATTGGGTGACTTTTTGCAACCTTGGCCATCTTGATATGTTCTGTGGGGGTCAAATCAATGCTGAAAAGCTGAATGCTGGTTATTTCCAGACTGAAGCTCATATTAACTTAATTGGAAGAATCACTCACTCCTCAGCAGCTGGAATGGGTGGCCTCTTCCAATTTCTCAAAGCCCAAGAGACAGATTTTGTTCTAATACAAATGAAAAACATCCAGCCATCTCTTCCCAAATTCTCCAACTTTCAAAGGAAAAAAGGAAGGGCAAGGGTGGGAGGAGAACCACTAAGAATTGATCCCATTGGAAATGCATTTCTGAGTTCACACTTCATACCTGGGTACAGAATGATACACGCTTATTAAAGAAAAAGAGAGAGATGATTTCCGTTCCAAAGCTCTTATAAGGACAGAAGGGCCACACAAGTTTTAATCCTAACTTTTCTCAGCCATGAAGGTTGGAATGCCTTTGGGCTATAAACATGAGGCCTTCCCTTCCCTTGAAGAAGGGAACTGAAGAACAGAGAAGGATTGCAAGAGCTCTGGGAACGTCAATCATTCCAGAGTCTAGGAAAAGGATTTCAAAAGGTTCTCGAGAGAGTTTGAAACAAAATGGTAGCCAAGGACCCACTCCTTGCTTAAAGGCTAACGAAGGCTGAAGAACAATGGACGCTGACAAGGGCAACCTGTTTGAAGGTCATGGGACTGTATTTCTGGAGAATGGAAGCAAGAAAGTAAAAAAAAAAAAAAGAGTTCTGAACAATTCATGATTGGCTGATACGGAGAAGGCGTACACGCGACACGAGGGAGGGGCAGCTGGTTAAAGCCAATATACATTATGTACAAACTCTTAAGTCCCCTTGATAGGCAATGTCATTGTTGTCTACAAGATGCTCTTGGAGAGGGGCAGAAGAAGACCTTAGGAAGGAGAGAGACAGGCAGAACCACCTCCATCCAATCCTTTTCTTGGCACTGTCATGGTAAGGTGCCTCCTGATCGAGAACACGGAGGGAACTCCTTTAAATAACGGCACGCAGGGAGGGGGGGGAAGAGTCCTGTGGAATTGCCTGCGCCAGGCTGGGGGGGCGGAGCTGCCTCAGCGCCCAGTCTCTGCCGCCAGAGGAAGGCCATTAGCAGCACCGCTTCTTCCGTTTACTGTTCTTTGTGAGTTTCACCACGTCGTTCTGTTGTTGTTGCTGCTGCTTTGCTAAGTTGTCTTTCT